CTGCCGCAGACACCCCTGGGACTTTCTGCCAAGAGCACTTTGTTAGGTCATCACCAGGGGACATGCTCTCTCTCCTGGGCCCCTGCAGGCCTCTTAAAGAAGGGTTGTCCTGGAACCTGGAGGCAGTCACTTTCCTTACCCACGACTGCCACCCTCAAACCATTTTCCTTCCTCCTCCTCTGATCCCGTGCCCCGGCTACACCACTGCCTCACCTGCCTGGTTGCTGCCAGCTTCTGAGCGCTGTCCTCTGCCCCTCAGTCCCTGACAACTTGAGCTCCAAGCATGCTGACCTCCTTTCGCTGTTACTCTGTCATCATCGTGGCTTCTTCAACGTCTCCTGAATGATCCGTGCAAACCTCCAGCCCAGCAGTCCTCGACCTGCCCACTTCCAGTCACCGGGTCTTCCTCTCAGCCTCCATCGCTGCTGCCTCTGTGATCAGCCCATTGTTCTTACCGTCCCCCATAAACACACTACATCTGAAATCTAAGCTGCGAGCATCTCACTCTTACTCTTCCCTCCTGTATCCCTCCAGCTCAGTCCCCAAGCGGTTCCTAGTCCAATTCCTGGATTTCAATCCACTCACCCTACTTCCCCCTCAGTCTCCCTTTTGTGTCCTGCTTTCTGCTTTATCTTGTTGATACCCCACAGCTCCTCATTATGGTCCCTTGCAAACAACCTGAACCCCTTATCCCTCTCCCATGTGCTATGCAAACACATATTTGCCTGGCAAAGCCTTAATACCAGTTCAATCCATGTGTGGGGCTCTTTTGGGTGCCACCACCTCAGCAACTAAACATGGTGGGAGACAAACACCACTGTGCCGATGGGCCCCACATGGAATAACAGCTAGCAACTCTATGCCATGCGCTGCTACCAGGGCACACGCTAAACATCTTACCATATTAACTAGTTCAATCCTCACAAAACCCATATGATTAGGTACTATTGCATTAACCCCATTACAAGGTCACACAACGATTCAGTGACAAAAAACAGGAATAGTCCTCAGGCAGTCTATCTGTAGGATCCTTTTCTTTATAATTCCACACTCTTCTTTTTTTTTTTTT